TCTCCCTCCTCTTTCCCCACTCTTACCTTACTCCTCGTTTCCCTGTACACCTCTTCTATCCTACTCCTTAATCCTTCCCTCACTCCCCTCCCCTTCATTGCCTCCATTAACACCTCCCTATCTACCGAGTCAAACGCCGCCTTCAGGTCCATAAATGCCGCAACTACCTTTCCTCCCTTCTTATTTACCCTCTTATTCACCAGATAGTTCAACACATAGATACTATCCATCACCCCCATTCCCTTTCTAAAACCTGTCTGACTCTCCGGTATCATATTCTTCCCCTCCATTTCTTCCTTTAACCTTTCAGTTAAAATCCCCACGTATATCTTGTATAGCGTTGGCATCAATGTCACTCCTCTATAGTTTTCCACTTTATTCCCCGTTCCCTTTTTCAACAGTGGCACTATTATCCCTTCTTTCCACCTCTCCGGCCATCCTTCTCCTCTCCATACTCTGTTGCACATTTCCCATACCCACTCTTCTACCCTCTCCCCTCCATATTTCCATACCTCACTCGGTATCCCATCCTCCCCCGCTGCTTTTCCTTTCTTCAGTTTTCCCAGCATCCTCTTCACTTCCTCCCTGCTTATCTCCTGCTCCTCATCTCTCTCCCTTTTTTCTTTTCCTCCTCTTACAACTTTTACCTCTATCCCTCCCAATAAGTCCATGAAGTATTCCTTCCATTCCTCCGCCTTTATCTCCTCATTCACCCCTTCTCTCTTTTTCCTTTCCCTGTTTATAATCTTCCATACTTCTCCTTCCGTTCTTGCCTCTATCGCCTCCTTGTACCATCTTAGCCTCTCCTCCTCCCTTTTTCCTTTACACATTAGCCTATATTCCGCCCTTACTTTTCTATATCCTTCTCCTCCTCCTCCTTTTTTCCTCCATTCCCTTAACTTTTTCCTCACTTCTTTCCTCTTCTCCTCACATTCCTCGTCCCACCACCCTTTCCTTTTCCCTTCTCCACTCTCTTTTTCTCCTTCTCTCAATTCCTCTTCTATTCTTCCTATTTTTTCCTCTAGCTCCTCTTCAATCCCCTCCTTCCACCCCTCTCCCCACTCTATTTCCTCTTTTATTCTTTCTCCTCCCCTCTTTGTCCATCTCCCTCTTTTTCTTATTCCTTTTCCCTCCCCCCTTTTTCCCTTTTCAGCTCCTCCTCTTCTTTCTAGCGTTACAATCAATGGGTGATGGTCCGATTCTATGTTATCTCCCACCTCCATTCTCTTTATCCTTTCCTTTACTCTATCCTCTCCCACCACATAATCTATTACCGATTTCCCTCTTCCTCCTGTATATGTGTACTCCCCCTTCCTATCCCCTCTTATCCCTCCGTTAAAAATTCCCCATCCCACCTCTTCCAACTCTTTTATCAACTTCTTCCCTTCCTCATTAACTTTCTTGTCCTTCGATCTTCTTTCTTCTTCCTCCTCCCCTCCTATCACTCCCCCCCTTCTACCTGTCCTTGCGTTGAAATCTCCTCCAAAATCGTCCATTTATTTTCTTCTTTCTCTTCCATCCATTCCTTCATTTCCTCCAATTTCCTTTCCATGTCCCCGTTGATGTATACGCCTATTACCCTCCACTTCTCTCTTCCTACTTCTAAATCCGCCATCATTATTCCCTCCTCCTTTTCTCCCATTTCTGATACTTTTATCTTCCCCCTCTCCTCCCTTACCCCATGATCATTCCCCCCATCGGTCTTCCTTTCTTCTTTCTCTTCTTTGCTGCTTGCTTCTCCCATCTATATCCTTTCGGTAACCTCTTTTTAATCGCCTCCCACCCCCTTTCCTCTATCCATGTTTCCATCATCACCACCACCTCCCAATCTTCTATTTCCTTCCAGAACTTTATAAAAAGTTATTCATTATATTATATTATACTTATATTTTTCAGAGTATCAATAATACAGTCATAAAATATTATTTCTTTCTTTACTTGAATAATGACATAATATGTTATTTCGCTATATATAAAAAAAAAATTTTTTATTAAAATAAAGAAATGTTTAATTAAATAAAATTAAAATATATAAATTAATAAAAATTTAAAATTATAAGTTATTGCTAAAATTATAATTTTACTATAAATATAAAATTATAAAAACTATCAATATTGGTAATATTTAAAAGACGTATTTTTTGTATTTTACATTCTAAATTGTAGTTAAAATTATATATATAATAATTCTGCTTAATTATTTTAGTTGTAATTACGTATAATCAAATTAAATAAATAGTAAATAAATGTGAATAATTATGTGTGTAAAATATGATGTATTTATTGATAAAATGCTACAAATCTTTGATAAAAAAATTCCAAAAAAATATATAATTAATTTTTAATTAAATAATTATTTATCACACGCGCGTACTTACGCACGCGCACACAAACACACACAAACACATATACACAGACATACACACACATGCACACACATGCACACACATGCACATACACATGTACGTACACACGCACACTCGCACGCACGCACGCACAGTATAAAATTAAAATATCTATACTGATTCAAATTTTAAGTTATAAATTATTGCTAAAATTATTGATTAAATTATGCTAAAGTCATAAAATTATTATGAATTATTATAAAATTATAAAAAAATGTCAATATTTTAAATATTTTTTTAAATACTAAAAGATTATCATTTTCTACATTGTTTTTACGTTCTTATTTGTAGTTAAGATTATATAATATCTTATTTGTAGTTAAGATTATATAATAATTATAGTTATAGTTAATTATTTTTAATTCAAAATTGCAAGCTGTCAAACGAACATTGCATCGCTCATCGTCGCGCACTTCACGTCAACTTGCGTCGCGAGATCGATCGCGTCGCCACGACCAATCACGATCGGAATAAAGCGGCAACAATGGGATCGCGATTTTCGGCAAACTTCCTGGTATCACAGAGATTTTACTGTAGGGATAATGCTGGACGAATATAACTTTGCTTTTCCTTTAATTCTAACATATTTAATATTTTCCTTTTTTTTTGCATTTCTTGCGTGAAAAAACTGTTCATATATTTCTGTTATAACTTGATTATCTTTATCGTCATTATACATTTCATTTATTAAAATAGTTAAAAATACTTTGAAACTCATGTCTCTCTACTTCACACTTACATACAACAGTATAAATTATTTGACAGTTTTGAATTTGCGCGTATAGAAAAAAATCAACACGTTTTAGTGACATGGTTGCTGGTACCTATACCAAAAATAGTTCCGCCTCTACCAATAACAACCACGGTACATGTACCAAACAGTTGCCAAAAATCGCCTATTATAAAATTTAGAAATTCTGGTGCTTTTGTGCATGCATTGGTTTCTGATATGGGGTCTAATTTTATGCAGCTATCCCGTGAATTAGGTATTTCGACAGAAAATTCAACATTTTTAGTAAATGAAGAGGAAATTTTTTATATTTTTGATACTCCTTATTTAATGAAAGCAACTCGTAATAATTTATTAAAATATAATTTTAAATTTGATAATAAAGTTGCTTCATAAAATCATATAATCCAATTTTATAATAGAGATTCTAAACAATGAATAAAAATGGCTCCTCATCTAACAAAATATCATATTGAACCAAATTCCTTTCAACGAATGAAAGTAAAATATGCTGTCCAAATATTTAGCAATCGGGTAGCTGCAGGTATATGCACGCAAATGTCGTTTGGTTTTCTTCCAAGTGAAGCAGTTGGCATAATAGAACTTATTGAAAAATTAGATAAATTATTTGATATTATAAATTCATTTGCTTTAAATAATCCAAAAGAATATGGAGAAATTTATACTGGTAGTGAGAAACAAAAAGAGTTCTTAGAGAAAATGTTACATCTTTTCAAATATATTACAATAATTAATGCCAACGGTTCACGTGTTAATGTAAATATTAAATGTTTTCAGTGCTGGCAGATTACAATTAATAGTATAATGCAGTTATGGGATAAAAAATTAAAATTTTTTAATTTTCCTTATCTTCGAACACGAAGAATTAATCAAAATTGTGTCGAAAATTTCTTTGATACTATTATGCAACAAGGTGGTAATTCTCTGAATCCGACATCGATTTAATTTATGCGTGCCTTTAAAAAATTACTCAGTATTAAATTTCTACAGCATTCTGAATCTCAAAATTGTGCTCATGATAATTACCAAATGTTAAATTTTATTAAGAAGCCGTGTTCAAGTAAATGTTTAAATCAAACTATTCCACTTTTGCCACGTAAAATTTTAGATATCCCAAACCATGATTACTATTCCATGGATCTGCCAGAGGAGAATGCGTTTACATATGTGTGTGGATGTTTGATTAAAAAGTGTATGGAAATTCATTCCTGTAATACATGTATATTATATGTAAATGAAAATAACGCTGTTTTAGAGGACACTATATTATATTGTTCTTTTCGAGCTTATTCTAATGAAGAAAATAATTTATATGGCAATTTAAACATACCAAATAGCAATTTTTGTTTTTAAATCCATCAATTAGAAGAATTATTTGTAAAAAATTTTGAAAATAATTGTTTTAAAAGAAATATTGGCAATTATCTTTTTTATTTAGTGCAAACTATACTTTTTGAATTGCTATGCCAAGATTTTTTTTACTAATTTTTTGATAAAATTATTTTTACGTACGTGTATATATTTTACATTAACACAGCATAATAAATCATGCAAAAGCATTAGTAAGAAAAATAGGAAACTTCTAAATGTGAAACATTTATAAATCTTAATATTAAGTATACAGTCTTATAGCCTGTCTTATATATGTTAAATTTATATATACAGTCTTATTTTCATAATAAAAAGTGTGATTGCGCTTTAAATGAAATATTAATATTTATAACATTTGCTTTATATATATCATACATTAACATTATTAACAACTTGATCTTATATATACATAATTTTTTATTAAAATTAATTTATTTTACATGTAGTAATATACTAAAAAGAGAGCAAAAATGAAGAAAGAGTGAAAAAAAAGTTCAGATGGCAGTACTGTTATACTCGCTGATTTCGCGCATGCGTACTCCATTTTATGTTACACAAACATCAAAGGTGCCGACAGAGAGTTGTGCTATTGTATATACTGTGATATTACTTCTATAACAACTGTGGAACGCTAGCGAATTTTAAGCAACACTTACTGTAAACGCATTTTAATTAAGCGAAGAACTGTAGTGACATTGGTGCAACTGAACTTAAGACGTTTCAATAAATAGAATCTTATATAATACAAATTTAAACAATTAAAAAATGCGTAAAAAGATTTAAAACCTAGAACATTAGGTTTGTTCTTCTTGCTTACACTTCGTACACTATCGTGTAAAGTGTACACTTTGGCGTTCTTCTTGTCGGAAATGACGTAGAGTTGTGCGATTACACTGGATTACACGCTGTTCGTCTTGAAAAGTGGATCACACTTTTATGACGAATTTTACACTGGTTTACACGAGCCTGAGAGGTGGTGTACGCAGTGTAAAGTTACACTAAGAGGTTATAGTTTTCCACGATTGCTTCCTAATTTTATTTTTTACAATGGAAGAAGTCGTATAAGTGCCTAAAACGGCAATAGTATTTCGAAATGCCGATGAATCAATAATTATTGATGAAGAAGGTTACATAACATGCCAAACCGACAGTATGTATACATTTTTAATTGTTTTATTTACATATGTGTTTTGTTAATTGTATGTATACATTTTTAATTGTTTTATTTACATGTGTATCATGTTAATTTGTAGGTGGGCTAACTTTTAAAATACACACTTCCGAAATAGATTTGAATGGTCCACCCATTACATGTACTTTGGATAACGAAAAAGTTTTAATAGTATTAACATCTACACACAGAACAATAGACACACCGGACACTAACATTTCCAATCAAGAAAATCAGAAGCCAAACGTCATTCAACACAATTTTGAAATTTTTACATGAAATGATGCGAATACCAAACTATTTTTATCACTCTACAAGGAGAAGAAAGAATTAGTTAGTTCTAGAAGAATTAAAAATTTTAAAGAAATGTGGAAGCGTATAAGCGACGAGATGAGAAACTCGGGATACGACGTGACTCCTATACAAGTGGAAAATAAATGGAAGACTTTAGAAAGACAATATAAAAAAGTTATTTCCAATAATAATAAGACAGGAAGAGGGCGGATTACCTGTAGTTACCAAACGTTTACGTATAGCTAAAATTGAAATAATAATAAATCATAATAAATTGATGCTTTATTTTTACTTACATGCTTTTACAGGGAACTGACAGAAATTTTGGGAAAGAGCCACAAAATAGTTCCACTTGCTGTGGCGGGTCCGGAAATAAGAGTAATGGTCCGAAATAGTATATCAGATCTCAGGACTTTATTGAATAACAGGTTTGTTTCGTAAATACTAATATCATCTATGAATTGTGATTTAAGTATATTTATTATTGCATATTTTGAAAATTGTTCATATATTTTCATATATTATCATTAATTTTTGAAAATTAATTTTATTTTTTAACTTTAGTGCGCCGATTTTAATGCCAGTATCGACAACAATTGTATTACCAACCACATCAAACGTAGAAAAAAGAGAGGAACCTGAAGATATGCCTGTGGCTGATGAAAGTGAAGTAGTAACCGTACCTGAAAATGCCAACCTCGTTGCTGTTGCTAAAAAAAGAATCGCCACTGGAACAACGGCAAAGGCATTGCAACAGTGCCAAAAAGAGATGCAAGAATACAGGAAGACACTCGAAAAACGCGATGAAAATCAAGATAAAATGTTATCACAAATCCTGGAAACCTATAAATCAATAAAAGATAGACAAGAAGAACATTTGACCGCAATAGAAAACCACAGAAAGGAAACTATTCAACAAAGACAACGAAGAAACGACTTATTGGAAGAAAAAAAAATTCATTGAAAGAATTTTTAAATTTATTTTTAAAAAATTAACCAGTGTGACGTGGCGACTCTTCTTTTCAGTAAATTTAGCCGACGATTATATTATTTTATTCCATTTATTTTCCACTTGTATTGCAGTCACGTCATATCCTTAGTTTTTCATTTCGTTACTTATGCGTTTCCACATTTCTTGTACAGTGTTGAAAACAGCTTTGTATTATATTTGTGAAGTTTATTGTTTATTGTTGATTTAATGGAACAATTTAATAAAAGAATTTTTATATTAATATGAAATAAGGATTTTTATTGAAAACACATTTATTATTTATAATTCACAAATAATATAATATATAAGGCCTTTAAAAGATAAATTTACATAATTCTTATTTAAATAGAATGTACAATAATTGAGACATTTATTGTGCTGCGAGTTGTCTACATATTTCATCTCTAAGTTCTCGTCCCTGTTGATTATCCTGCGGTATTGCATTATCTCCAACCATATTAATCAGTGCATTTACAGCATCAGGATCAGGTTGATTTTCATCGGGAGGTGGTTCAAATAACTGTAAATCATTAGCATTCGCCATATTGTGCAAAACACAACATGCATGCACAACCTGAACCATTCGAACAATGTCTCGTAACTTAAAATGGTACAATTGACGAAATCGCTGTTTCAGATTACCAAATGCATTTTCGATAATAACTCGACATGAACTCAATCTTTGGTTAAAATTGATTTGAGCTCGTGTCAAATGTCCGTTATCTCTATACGAAACAATCAACCGTTGTAAACAGGGATACGCACTATCTCCAAGCAAGTATCCATCTTCTGCAAATTAAAAAAATTGGTTCAGTAAAAGATTGTACACTAAGTCTCTTTACAATAGCATCCGAATATACATTTTGATATTATTTTAATCTAAAAAAAATTACGTCACAAACCTCCACAAAGTTCATTCAGTCTATTGTACACAGGCGATTCCCTGAAAACTCTTGCATCATGAACCGATCCAGAGTAACCGATAAACACATTCATAAACTTTTGTCCGTGGTTCACAATGCCTTGTAACTGAATGGAAAAAAATTGTTTCCTATTTATGTACAAATCTTTGTCTTCTATTGGTTTGTCGATTCGAATGTGCGATCCATCTATGGCACCTGTAATAATGAATTATTTAGTAATGAAATAATCGAAATTCTATATGTATGAAAATAGTACTTTTGAAATATACCTATTACTCCAGGAAATCTGTTTTGCATTTGTAGAAAATGTTCTTTAATGGCTTCTCTCTCTTGCATTGTAGGAAATCTGATGACATTTGGTGCAAGAGATATTAAAAAATTTGTGATCCGGGATATAACATTGTACAGCGCACTTATGGTAATCCCAAATTTATCTGCTACATCCCGATAGCCACTGCTTTCATGTCCAACGTACCAAAGAAAACTTATGATATGTTTCTCTGGAGAAATAGGCTCGTAGCCTGCATAAGCTGTGATAACATACATAGATATAATAAGATATTATATTCATAAAATTATGCAACTAAAATATGTTATTTATAAATAATATTAATGTATGTGGAACTCATAATTATGATATAATTAACCTTGTAATGCCAAAAAAATTTGAGATGCTGCAAAACGATTGATCAATTCATTGGTCACTTCTCGTGATAAGCGAAAGTGCATTATGAAATCACTCTCAGTGTATAAATGTACAACATTTTCAATATAATTTAAAATTTTTACGTGATGTACTCTTTAAACAACTCCTAATACTGGCTCTAATAATTGTCCAATGTCTTCATCTAAAAAACAATGTTTTGAGGTTAGATTACATAGGTTAAATTACTTTAAACAGTGGTTAAATGTACTCACATGTAGTAAGTAAAAAATTATTTAACTATCTTACCATTATTTGCAGCAAATAAAACAGGTGGTTCAGGAACAATCTCGTCAAAATCCTCTTCATCGGATGACAAATCAGATTCAGACTCCGACTCCAAAATGTGATTAAGAATTTCTACATTTAATTCATTCATCATTTTGTGATAATTGTAACAATATAACCAATAATAAATTTTAAACAATAAAATTCCACTTTTTTATTAAAACTTTAAATATGAACACTATGCACAAATAGCTGTCGTATTTATAAACACTTGATGTTACACTTCGGCGTTCTCGTTGAAAAGCTTACACTTTACACTGAATTTACACGACGTTACCCCCACTCTCAAAAATTGGACGGAGTAAAAGTGTACACTATACACTTTTCGTGTAAGCAAGAAGAACAAACCTATTGTTTAACAGAGCAATTGTACTTAAAAATATCTGCAAACATTTTTAAAAAGGATGGAGAGATGTAAACTAAAATGTGAAAAACAAGTTATTATAAATAACGTAACAAAAATTAAAAACCATCAAAACTTTTAGAATTATATACCAACTGCGAAATATTGAATCCGCAAAATATATAAAAAAAACTAAGATCGACAAATGTAAGTATTGAAGGCTTGATCGACTAATATAATTTGCTGACGGTTTCTTAACTACGGAAAGGCATTCCGCCGTCAGGCCATCTGTCGGTGGGAGGTAATACTAAACACAAGCCAAGAAACTAACTATTATTTTTATTTTTATCGACAACAAGGGCTCTAAATCGAAGGATCGGGGGAAAATCTAGCCATATACATTCCCGTAAAAGTAGAACGTTCCATCTTGCACGGTTCAATTGTTATTAATTTTTTAATTTTCAAAATGTAATATTCGTTTTTAAGAATATTTGCAAACATAAATGGCTGTAACTCGGGCCTTCGGTGCGTGATGTCGTTGGCACTCGCGTTTGTGCAAAAGGATAAGCTTCTATCTCCAACAGTTCCTTTGTTATTAATTATTCAAATTATTTTTTCAAAAAGTAGTAACTATTTCTTTTTTTGCTTTTTGTCGACATCAGGGATTCTAACTCGGAGAATCGGAGGACGGCCTCGCCATCTACGTTCCTGCGAAAGTAGAACGTTCCATCTTGCGCGGTTTATTTGTTATTAATTTTTTAATTTTTAAAATGTAATATTCTTTTTTAACAATATTTGCAGACATAAATGGCTGCAACTCGGGCCTTAGGTGCGTGATGTTAACACTCACGTTTGTACAAAAGGACAAGCCTCCATCTTCAACGGTTCTTTTGTTATTAATTATTCAAACTATTTTTCAAATACATATACATATACATGTAGCGACTTATGAATAAATTCACCAGATCTTTTAAGAAAGTAATGTTTATTCATTGAAAGTATAAAGCGAAAGACAAAAAGAATTAATATATAACAAATAAATGAATGAATGTGTTGTTATGGAAATATTGATTTTTCTTAAAAACATTATGTTAATTAATGAATTGAAGTTATTACAAATGTATAAAGATGTAAAAAGTGTAAAAGTGCAGTGAAAAGTGTAAGGTGTAATAAAAGTGTAGAGTGTAAATAAAAGGTGTGGATGATAAATGCTACAGTACTCCCTCCCAAGTGACGATATTCGTTGCGAAATGGACTTTCTTCTTCTTTGGTGGGTAGGTACGTAGAGCTTTTCCAACAGTAGAAGAAGAAGAAGGAGGATTTGAAGTAGCAGAAACAGGAGCTGAAGTAGCAGGAACAGGAGCTGAAGATCTGGTAGAAAGTTCAGTAGAATCTGAAGTTCTAGGAATGAAGGCTGGCTTGAGACGTTCTGTCGAAATATTGACAACTCTTCCTGAAACGTTAACTGCAAATAAATGATCAGAGATACGTTTCTCAATAGGAAAAGGGCCAGAATAAGGAGGTTGTAGTGACTTCCTAACAGCATCTTCTCGAATCCAAACATGAGTACAATCAAAAAGATTCTTGTGAACGAAAGGTGATCTTTTGCAATGATGACTTGTAGGAGATGATCTGATATTCCTCATATGAATCCTGTGTTTTTCAAGAAAGATTTCAGGATCTGCAGGAAAATCTTCTTCAATGAAAAATTCTCCAGGAATACAAAGAGTGGATCCATAAAGAAGTTCTGCTGGTAAAGCTTTTAAATCTTCTTTGAAACACGAACGTAATCCCAAAAGAACTGAAGGTAACGATTCTATCCAGTTGGTTGTTTCGTGGCACATAATCGCTGCTTTCAAAGTTCTATGCCATCTTTCCAGAATTCCATTTGAAGCAGGATGATAAGCAGAAGTTCTAATTCTTTGACAGCCAATTAGGTTTGTTAAAGCTTTGAATAAAGCTGCTTCAAACTGAGGACCTTGATCTGTTGTAATGCTGATAGGAGAACCAAAACGTGCTACCCAATGTGAATAAAATGTTGTAGAAACAGTTTCAGCAGAAATCTCAGAAATAGGAACAGCTTCAGGCCATCTGGAAAAACGATCAATCATAGTAAGACAATAACGGTAATTTTGACAAATAGGAAGTGGTCCAACAATGTCTAAATGCACATGCTGAAAGCGTTGATCAGGAATTGCAATCTTAATTGGAGAATTCTTGGTGTGTCTTGAAATCTTCGCACGTTGACATGGAAGACAAGTTCGAGTCCATTCCTTCACATCTTTCTTCAAAGAAGGCCAAATGAATTTCAGTAGTAATTGTTTAGATGTCAATCTGCCGCTGGGGTGAGCGAGTCCATGAACAACATCAAAAATTCTCTTGCGTAAGAGTTTAGGAACATATGGACGAATTAATTCCGAAGAACAATCACAATAAATAGGTATGGTTGATCCTGAAAGAATAAGTTTCTTCAACAGAAGTGAAGAATTTGAAGAAAGTAAAACTTGAAGTTCTTCATCTTCTTTCTGATAATTAGCAAGTTTTTCTAAAGAAACTATAATAGACATTGAAATAGATTCAATTCTTGACAGAGCATCAGCAACTGAATTCATTTTTCCAGAAATATAGGTAATATTTGTAGAGAATTGAGCAATAAAGTCCAATTGTCTGATCTGTCTTGGTGACGCTTTATCCAATTTCTGACGGAAAGCAAAAATCAAAGGTTTATGATCAGTTCTGATAATCAGTTGTCTTCCTTCAACAAAATGCCTGAAATGTTTAATAGCCAAATAAATGCTAAGAAGTTCTCTATCATAAGTGCTATAATTTCTTTGAGCTTTGTCTAGTTTCTTTGAGAAAAATGTTATTGGTTTGATATCGTCGTCAATAGACTGTTCAAGTGATGCACCAACAGCAAAGTCAGAAGCATCACAAGTTAAAATAAGAGGAGCATGAGGAGCAGGATGAGAAAGGGTAGTAACTTGTAAAAGTTCTTCTTTACATGACTCGAAAGCTAATTCCGCTTCTTTAGTCCAAGAAATAATTCTTCTATCCCTCTTGCGACTGTCCTTTAAATATTCTGTTAACAGAGCTTGATGATTTGCAGCATCCTTGAGACAGCGACGATAATAATTGATAATTCCTAAGAATCTGCGTAATTCATGAAGTGTCTTAGGTTTAGGATAATCAATAATTGATTTCACTTTTTCGGATGTAGGTTTAACTCCTTGGTTAGAAACTAAGTAACCAAGAAAAAAAATCTCGCTTTGACCGAAAAGACATTTAGCGACATTGATTGTCATTCCAGTTTGTTGAAGACGATCAAAAATAATGCGTAAGTGAGCAATATGTTCTTTCTCGTCTTTAGAAGCGATAAGAATGTCATCAAGATAACAAAAGGCAAAACTCAAATCATTAAGTAAAGAGTTCATGAGCCGTTGAAAAGTTTGGGCTGCGTTTAGTAAACCGAAAGGCATTACGACAAATTCAAAAAGCCCAAATGGAGTAGTGACAGCTGTTTTGTGAATATCTTCTTTAGCGACGGGTACTTGATAGTACGCTTTAACTAAGTCGATTTTAGAAAAGATATTCTTACCAAAAAGTGAAAAAGAAAAATCTTGAATATGAGGTAAGGGATAACGATCCGGGATAGTCACTGAATTGAGTGCACGATAATCACCACACAGTCTCCAAGAATTTTGTTCCTTTTTAGGTACCATATGTAGAGGGGCTGCCCAGGAGCTGCTTGAAGGCCTGCAAATTCCTTGCTCCATCATAGATTTGAATTCTTCCTTGGCACATTTAAGTTTCTCAGGAGTAAGTCTTCTGGGAGTCGAAAATTTAGGAGAACCTTCCGTAAAGATATGATGCTCAACACCATGCGTTTTTACCGAGGAAATTGGAGAAAAACGGGTGAGTCCTGGAAATTCGGTTAAAAATTTATGGTACACAGAATCAGGAGATGTGGTAAAAATTGACAAATGCGCAACTTCTTGAATTTTTCCAGTATTCATAAGACCGGTAACGTTATCAATCAATTTCTTGTTTTTAATGTCAATCAGGAGATTAAAATGACAAAGGAAATCGGCGCCTAAAATAGGACGTTGAATATCCGCGACACAAAATTTCCATTTGAATTCTCTCCTAAGACCGAGGTTCAAAATTAAAGTTTTAGAACCGTAAGTACTAATTTGAGTACCATTTGCGGCAAAAAGTTTTAAATTAGTATGCCACGGCTTCAATAAAACTCTTTTAGGTAACAACGATATATCAGCGCCCGTATCGACAAGAAAATTCAAATTTGAATGTCTGTCGAAAATAATGAGGCGATTGTTAGAAACACCGTCGTAAGCAGCTTCAGTCTTAAACGGCGTTTTTAGTTTTCCTGTGAAGCCAAGAATGTTTTGGACATAGAACAAGGTAAAGTACATCGTTTAGCTTTATCACCAAACTTCTTATGGTAAAAGCAAATTGATGTATCTTTAATATCTTTATTTGATTTGTCTTTGTTACGCGATAACGATCTAAATCTTCTATTCTCTCTAGACCGGCTTTTGGAACGATCTCGACGACGAGAAACTTCAAGAGCTTCGATTCTTCGTAATAAATCCGCAAAATCCAAAGATTTATTATTTGCATTATTGGAAACTTCCGCGACTTGCAAACCGCCGTCCCGATCAGCAATTTTATCGGCTAATTCCGCAAGTTTAATAAGAGGAACATCTTCTACTACGGCTAAAGTCGTTTGAATTCTATGTGGTAAGCGTTGAAGCCAAATCATTTGCAAAACACTATCCGCTAAAGATCCTCCAGACAAATGACGAATTTCTCGAAGTAATTCCGAAGGCTTTTTATCATTAAGTTCAATTCCAGCTAATATTTGTCTCAAACGTTTTTCCTCTGAATCCGTAAAGCGATTTATTAATATTTTCTTTAAATAATTATATTTATCTGTTTCAGGTGGATTTTCAATGACTTCAGATATGTTTATTAAGGCTTGTTCATCAAGATGACGAATGACAGAACTATATTTAATATCATCTGATCGAATTCGATAAACCGTAAACTCACTTTCAATAGAAGCAAACCAGAGTTTAGGTTGCTTATGCCAGAAAGTCGGTAGTTTTAATAAATGAAACTCATTTGAGTGAATTTGTAACATAGGATCACTCACCTGATGTCCAGTTTGAGAAGGTAAAATATTAATATTATCTGATCCAACCTGATTTGATCCGCTCGCCAAATCCATATCAATCTGTGTATCCGTACAGAGTCTAACTGGTGATCTATCGATTGGCATTTTCCTCTTGTTCCAGGAATCCGATAAAATGATTTGAGAATTTCCGTGAAGGACTAATCCGCCTCTAATGTTTCAAAGATCCGGAGAATGAATCTCTTAAAATCAGAATATCCAGCAATTCCTCCAAGCGATGATAATATTTCGCAGACGTCAAATACGACGATCACTTGACACTTATTCCGCATCAGCTTTTAAAATGCGTCGGCTTTAATATCACGTCGGGGTCACCAAAAATGTAGCGACTTATGAATAAATTCACCAGATCTTTTAAGAAAGTAATGTTTGTTCATTGAAAGTATAAAGCGAAAGACAAAAAGAATTAATATATAACAAATAAATGAATGAATGTGTTGTTATGGAAATATTGATTTTTCTTAAAAACATTATGTTAATTAATGAATTGAAGTTATTACAAATGTATAAAGATGTAAAAAGTGTAAAAGTGCAGTGAAAAGTGTAAGGTGTAATAAAAGTGTAGAGTGTAAATGAAAGGTGTGGATGATGAATGCTACATACAAGGTTTGTCAAAAGTATGGGTACTTCTGAATATCTCGTGAGGATGACGTTTTTAAAAAAATGTTAAAAATCAAATTGAATGCTTAAAACGTCGCTAG